TATGATTATATCTCCTTTCTTATTTTATTTTCTTCTTAATTTTAATTTCAAAAAATGAATTATTTAATTTTAAAAATATTAATTTATTTTCCATTTTTTGTATAAATCTATTTATTTTTAATAATAATTTTTTCTTTATTGATTTCTCATTTAATAGACAAACTAAAATTGATATAACATTTAAAAAAAGGTGCACTAAAATGAAACTAATATTATATTTAAACCTCTGATGTCAAGCTTTTTTTATTCTAATATTGCTATAATATTACTTAACTTTCTAAACAGAGTATAGTAGGAGTATAAAGAGTAACAAAAATAAGAAAATTTTAGAGTGTGTTTGATTGATATGGAAAATATATCTTAGAAAAGAAAATGTGTTTCTTATTTTGAGGAAAACAAAAAGAGGAAATTACACCCACAGAGGTATTTAAAATTTACAATTCAAAAATTAGGTTTGAAGTTTATTTATACAAAAATTAGGTATCTCATTTTAAATATTAAATATTAATTCATTTCAATCATTATAATTATCCAAACCCTAAAAATCAAAAAATCATTTACACATTCTCTCTCATCTCTAGCCTCTCTCTCTTCTCCCGCTGCCGATGTCGGAATCTGGCACCACCGGCGCCTCTCCTCTCCCTCAAATCGTCGACAACACAGTGACAAGAGCGGCGGCGGCATAATCCTGTGGAAGAAGATCTGAGAGCGGCAAGTGAATCTGGTTGGGGGTGTGTGGTGGTGTTGATGTTGTTTGTGGGGTGGTAGTGGTGGTTTGGGGTGGTTTCGGTGACGTTGGTTCTGGTGGCGGTGAGTTGTTGGTAGTTGTGGCAGTGATGTGTTTTTATGGTTGCGACACTGTATCCTTCCTTATCTTTTTTGGGTTGTGATTTTCGTGGTGATTTTGGGTCGCGATTTAGGTGGTGGCGGATGTGGTGGCTGTGTGCGATCAACTGCGACGTGGTGGTGGCTGTGGTGGTATTAGGTACGTGTGATCTGTTGGGATTTGGTGGTTGGCGGTGGCTGTGGGTGCGATCTGCTGTGTTTTGGTGGTCGGTGGTGGTTGGTGCAAGTGGCGGTGGTTGTGGTCATTTTCATTGGGTG